TTTTTTTTTTTTAGAAAAAAAGCACTGACTAACAGTGTTGTGAACACAGCCAGTGATGCTCAAAAGAAAACGACACCATAGGAGGAGAAAAATTAAAGGTCTGGTGTTGTTTCTTAAATTAGTAATTCTTGTAAGGACTACTGAGCTGTGTACATTATTTGATAGCCTAATTATATCATATCCAATAGAATCCCCCAAATGCTTGGTCCTGTTTCTCTAATCTGCCTTTGCTCTGTATCTGGTGCTCTGTAGCTAGGATTCTTGGAAATTATTTTTCCCATTTTTGGGAAGCAAAACTGAATATTTTGAAATGGAAAGTAGTGTAAAATCATATTAATGTAGGTCTGCAATATTTCCAACGTGAAGGCAATAAGCTGGAGGGGTGGGAGGACTCCTCTGCCATGCCTTTTCCATGATTGCTTGGCCACCTTCTAAAACTGCCATGAGATCCAAGGAAAATATATGTGTGGTTTAAACAACTGCAGACAATATTGTACCTTAATGTTCTAAAGTACCATTTTGTCTTTGAGATTGAAGGATATAGCCCTAACTTTTAAAATGCATATTTTAATTGGCAAATGTATGCAGAGTAAAAATAACTCTTTTAAGTTATAACATTCTAGTAAGTTGTATGGATTTCTTGGACTAGAGTGAATGTTTCACTGCATGTTTCAGAAACTGATAGAAAAAAGATGGAAAATAACTTCAGTATAAGGTATGGTTAACATCAGCTGTTAAGATTAGAGGTAATCCCCGACTTACAACAGTTCATTTAGTGACTGTTTAAAGTTACAAAGGCACTGAAAAAAGTGAGTTATGACCATTTTCACCCAAACATTGTAGTGTCCCCATGGTCACATGATCGAAATCTGTGGGAGAAAAGGTTGTAAAATGAGGCAAAATCCACTTAGTAACATCTTGCTTAGCAACAGAATTTTTGGGTTCAATTGTGGTCATAACTCGATTACCTGTACAAGATTTCTAGAAGAGCCCGTGCTGTATTATCTTAAAAATAAATCCAGAATATATGAGGTTATTAAAATATTGTGTATCTAAACAGTTTTAACACAGAAGTGATTTGTTTACTGTCTAAGTAATTTTCAAGACACTTCAGGTTTGAAGGGCAAAAAAGTACTTTAAAAATGCTTAAGTGTGTTTTTGTAGCACTTGTCAAAAACTTAAAGCAGCATTTTTATTTCTAATGGAATACTAGAATTATTATGAAGCAATAATGGTTAATAATAAATACTAGAATTATTATTCTAGTATTTATTATTATTAACTATTATTGCTTCATAATAGTACTCAACAAAATGTATTCCTAACATGCATTCTTTATGCTGCTACATATCTTTTTTTCAGATTGTATGAAATAGTAACAATGCATGTTACATAAAATTAACTTCTACTTGTGTTTGAATTTGCAGGCTATCTCTTAAAATATTTCAACCATGACTAAAAGAGAAGCAGAAGAACTAATAGAAATAGAAATTGATGGAACTGAAAAACAAGAGTGCACTGAAGAAAGGTATATAGAAAAATTCAATGGGACCCCTTACATGGTTATTTTTATAGTTGTATTTCTGATTTAAATCCATTTGAACAATTCTTTTCATTTAAATTCTATGGAAATAATATTTTTCTTGACTTTAAAGATGAAAATATAAGGTTTTTTTTAATGAAGGATAGAAAGCATAAATTTGTTTTTACTGTTCAAAGAACTTTTGATGCTTGCAACACGTTGAAGCAACAGATATTGCTTCTACCTCAACCCTTATTACTTTAGAGTACCATAGAAATTAAGAGGTTTATAAAATTAAAATTAAAATATCACATGAGCAGTATTTTCTTTAAAGCCAGAGTCCATATTACTTGCAAAATAATTAATAAAAATATTTAATTGATAAGGTAACTATTGTTTTATATTTGTCAGTACAGAATTACATGAGATTGAGTTCAGGGGAGGGATTTTTATTGAATTCGGCGAACCGGTTATGATCTGAGTCTCTACTCTTGGCCTTTCCGTCTCCAGTTTTTCCAAGTTTTTTTCAATCCCATGCTGAGGTTTTCTCTCTTGGCTCCTCTCTTCAGCTGTTTGGGTCTTGCCGCTCTCAAGCTCCTCAGGGTGATAGAGGAGGTTCTCCAAAGCACCGACTGAAGCTGACGCCCTGTTCCATGCCCAAGGGAGACCTCCTCCGTCACTCTGCAAGAGGAGACGGGGGGAAGGCTCCCCCCCGCCTTTGCTTGCTGCCACCATGCAGCACGGTCTCCCTTGGGCATGGAACAGGGCGTCAGCTTCAGTTGTTGCTTGCAGGATGATGGAGGAGGTCTCCCTTGGGCTTCTCCCACTTTCTCCTTCGTCCTCCTTTGAACAACCTTTCATCCCCATTGCTGCTTTTTCAGTCCGGGACTTGATGCAGAATGTGGATCCTTCCTGTTGTGCATCAAGTAAACTTTAAAGAAAGTTAAACAGTATGGCAGCGAAAATCCAGCATGGGAAAAAAAATCCCATTTTTTTGAGATGTCAGACTACTGTGCATTCATGTGCCCCCAATCCCCTTGGTTGCTGCAAAGCCAGATTGGAGTCCTCAGGCCACTCCTTCCAGCCCATTTCGAAGCCAGTCCAAAAGTGAAGGGAATGGTTCCCACCCCACCCGATTGCTGTGGGGCTTCATTTCCAAAGACCCTCTGTACAGGCTCCAGACAAACTCTGGGACTGAAAAAGCAGCAATGGAAGTGAAGGGCTGTTTAAAGGAGGAGGAAGAAGGAGAAAGTGAGAGAAGTGACTACTGAGCAGGTGAGGTGCGACAGGTGTAGGGGCATGGTAGGGCTGGCTGTGGGGGCTCTTCGGCATGGTAAGCGGTTGCATGGGGCAGCTCCCCCCTGCCTTGTGGCAGTGGCACCCCACCTACCCCCCTGCAGAGAACCAGTTAAATTATTTGAATCCCACCACTGGTTGAGTTGATCTTTGATTCCAGTTCTTCATTAGTATTACAATACTAATCAAGAGTTTTGTGGAATACTGCTGCTAACCATCTGCCAGCACATTTTTATTTTTGCAATATATGTAATGTGCTTGTGTCTTACCATGTTTCCGAAATTAAGACCCGGTCTTATTTTTTTTTTTCTCTAAAAGAGGCACTAGGTCTTAATTCGGAATGTCTTACCTTAGGATCACCACAGCCAGGCCCCCCACACCCCGACATCTGTTGCACTGCTGCTTGACTTCTTCTGCGGCTGCTTGCCACCACTTTTGGCCAGACGCCATGTGGCGTATTGCGTGGTGCTTTGCACTGTTTCCGCTGCTTGTGGCAGGATGCTACGTGGCTCTTTGGGCTGTTTCAGCAGTGGAAACGGCCCGAAGCGCCCCGTGGCCTCCTGCCTCAAGCAACTGAAGCGGTGCAAAGTGTGCGAGCAACGGAAGCGGTCCGAAGTGCTGCACGAGCAGCGGAAGCGGCCCAAAGCACCATGTTGCATCCTGCCATGAGCAACAGAAATAGCGCAATGAGCCACATAGTGCCCGGCCGCAAGTGGCGGCAAGCGGCTGCAGAAGAAGTCAAGTAGTGGCGTGACAGGTGTCGGGGTGTGGAAGGCCTGGCTGTGGTGATCCTACTGGTAAGGTAAGCGGGTGCAGGGCACGTTGGGTAGCTTCATCCCCCCTAACCCACCCTAGCTTGATTTTTAGGGGTGTGCCTCGCCCCAAAACTAGAGCTTAGTTTTGGAGTAGGGCTTATATTAGGCCCACCCCCAAAAATCAAGCTAGGGCTTACTATCGGGCTGGGTCTAACTTTCGGGGAAATACGATAGTATTCTCTTACTCCTTATGTGACTTTTTTTAAAATAGCTGTTGCCTTAATCACATCCTTGTCCATCTTGAAGATTCTTTATACGGATGTAGAAATAACAGAAACATTTGATGATACCATGCTAAATATAAAAAACATGCTAAAAATCTGATGATATCTCTGGGTAATTTGCCAAAAGATTACATCCCTTTCCCAAATTATCATGAATTCCAAAATTCATGATAATTGCAATTAATTAAAAATGCATTTTATATGAAAAAGCTCCATTCAGGTCTGATAAAAAAGAAATTCTT